TGACAGCATTTTATGATTTCTGCATACATTTATCCCATGGCACCGTCAATTTATTCATGGCAGCTATTTTAAGACTACTGAGACCTTATTTACCTCATTTACAGTTATTAGCACTTGACTACATTTACTTTTGTAATATATTTCACTCAATTTACATGTAGGTAAGTGAATGTGTTTTACAGGACAGTTACAATGCACAGGTCAGTACTTACATCCCTAAGCGCTTCTTGTGCAAGTGATCGGAATGATAAAATAACACCAATAATAGTCATCCTCTTCAAAACACTATCAACAGCTGAAATAAAAATGTAAAGACTGTGAAACAGAATGGCAAATTTTTCACTATGGTCATAAGTAGCATTTTTTAAATCCTTGTTAAGTTCTATAGGAGGTGGACCATGAACCAGGAGGAACATATTTGCATTTTTAAATCTCGCGGACGTACTCCCCCTGTCCAAAATCTCCTGCCACAGCCAGAATTTCTGGAGGAAGACCCTTGCCTTAAACTGTCAGTGGAACTGAACTAGTAAAAGACAGAGGAACAACCAAGATACAATCCCATACAGACAGGAATACAATCAAGATGAACCTCACTCAAGACACAGTTTTCAAAGGTTGCTTATAAACTGCCCATGAACAGGATTTCCTCTGAAATGTTCAGACACTGGATGGATCCAACATCAATTTATGCTCGAGGTCAATTGGGCCTTACTTAACATTACTACCTTAAGCAGGTTAAGAAAGTGATTAAGGAATAGGAGCAAATATGTGAAATATAACTCTGTCTTTGCATGTTTTTCAGTAACTGAGGAGCACCATTTCTCATAGGTGAAACGTCCAAACTGTTTTCAAAGGTTGTCTAGAGAAAAAATGCAAGGCAAGGTTATTCATTCATAAATGGCTGTTGTTAGAATATCCCCATAAGGGAAGGATGACAGCTAGAAAACTGATAGCCAATGCAAGCACTTTGACTCTTGGGGGACAATGATATTTCCATAAATACCTCTCTGTTTGTTCACCATACCTGCTTACAGAAGGTTGTCTGTCTTGTCAGTAGTTCCTGCTTAACACTGCTCATGAATTAATACTGTCTCTACACATTGGTTAGGCTCTTGAAGACTGAGTTGCATATCACCTGCATACTCATTATCCCTGGCTTCAAAATATTCACATGATTCATCCATTCTTTCATGTGGATGTTATAGAACATGGAAGACAATATGGATCCTTGCAGTACTTCATAGCTAGACCCAACAAACCGTACTCAACAGTCCAGCTTCATCATTATCAGAGTGACACCAACGTCTACATAACAAGTAATTCTAGGAAATTAATATAATAAATGGATCTAGAAAACCAAACAGGGGCTACACTTTCCTCTAATAAGGATCATCCACCAAAGCAGTTTCAGAGCTGAAACTAGATCTGTATCGCATAAAAATCTAGAAAATATATTTCACCTAAGCATATTGAAATGGAAGGTCATCCTCCACTCTACCATCTCATCCAACAAGACAATAATTGCTACTAGACAATAGTAGTCCAAAACCCAGAGATCTAGGCAAGGAATTTTGAGAAGGAGGCATGCCACTTCCTCTTTCAGAACCAAGAGAAGAACTTTTTCTGGAAAGATGAAAAATCTGCAGGATCCCCAGATAACCATTTCCATTTGCTCCCAATCCTGTTGGCTTTTTGTAAAGCTTTAAGAAAGCTTTATGTGCCTGGAACTCAGAATGTGTTAAGGGCCTTGTTACTTGGCTTTACTATTAGTTATTAACCATCACGGCTGCTGCCTGTATTTTATGGATGTTTTTATTGTTTGTTTTTTTTAAATTCTTTTAATTATTGTATAATTTTAGAATTGTAAGCTGCCCAGAGTCACTTGGTTGAGTTGGCGGCTATATAAACTGATGAATGAATCAATCAATAAATACATTTCCAGCTGGATTTAATTAGCTAAGATGATCAAGGGTGGAGTACAAACAGTGGCGTCGCCTCCATATTCTGTTTAAAACTCTGGGTTGCAGAAAATTAAAAGTAATCCCATATACAGTAATTTAGCCAGACAATGGCCTAATTACTTCAGTTCACACTGTAGCTTTCTCAAACCTAGTTCCCACCAGTCCCTAGCTCCGAATTCTGAACGAAAGGTAATAAACTAGGAAGATTAACTTAAGTCATTTGAAATGCAAATCAGATCTAAGACTGAATGAAAGGGACAGAATGAAAAAATGAATGTTCTTTTTCCAGAAGCCTATTTGGAATCCACTTTGATATCCTTTTAATATCGAGAACTCTTCTTAAAATTCTTACAAGCTTTTAAAATATTTGTCTTTATAGTGTTTTATTTGTGAGTTTCATTCACCTAATGAATTAAATAGATTGTTATATCAGCCATATACGACGGTTCATAGATTTATGCAATTAGTTAATGAAGGTCCTGCTATTTCTAATGAGTGTAACTTGTTAATTTTAGTCATTATTTGACAGTGTTGATCTATTTCAGCTATTTATTTTTTTGTCACCAAGAGACATATAAGGAACGGTTGCTGGAATTGGGTATGTCTAGTTTAATGAAGAGAAGGACAAGGGGGGGACATGATAGCAGTGTTCCAGTATCTCAGGAGCTGCCACAAAGAAGAGGGAGTCAAGCTATTCTCCAAAGCGCCTGAAGGCAGGACAAGAAGCAATGGATGGCAACTAATCAAGGAGAGAAGCAATCTAGAACTCAGAAGAAACTTCCTGACAGAACAATTAACCAGCGGAACAACCTGCCTCTAGAAGCGGTGAATGCTCCAATGCTGGAAGTTTTTAAGAAGAAACTGGACAGCCATTTGTCTGAAATGGTATAGGGTTTCCTGCCTGAGCAGGGGGTTGGACTAGATGACCTCCAAGATCCCTTCCAACTTTATTATTATTAATTATTATTATTATTATTATTATTATTATTATTATTATTATTATTATTATTATTATTATTATTATTATTATTATTAACTTTTATTACCTACTCCATTAACAAATATGAATATTTATGTCTTTTACTGATTAGAATACTTACATGACAATCTTTTGAAGAGAGCTGCCATCTGATCTGGTTTATCAAAACTGGTCCTCATTTGTGTTAGTACTTCAACATTCTCAACCACAAGTTTCTAAGACGAAGCAAGATCTCAGGTCAGGCACAGATCTGAGTATAGTAATAAGTGCATGCTTTAGAACATTTAAGTGAGGCAAGCAGGAAACAGCTCATGAAATCCAGATCTTCCTACTATCTGACCAGAAGAACTATGCCATTATGCTATTTTAGCCTGAATACACAGCAAACAGAAAGCTTTTGAGTGTAATAATAAAAGCTCTGTCTACTTCATAAAGCATTTATTGTTCTAATCATCTCACAAAGTTGGCCAAAGATGGTTTGGAATAACTGGATCGCATTCCTCAATCTGGACTAAGATGGTCTAAAAAGAAAGTAGAGTAGAGCAGAGCAGAATAGAGAGCAAAGCAAAATAAAGCAAATGATAAATATCATTCTCTGAATAATATGCATAGAAATTTAAAAGCATACTGTAACTATGGCAGAACACAATATTCAATACAGTACATCATTACTCCACATCAACATCCTTTACAGATTTTCCTCATGGAAAAATAACTTACATTTTCTGAGTTTGGTCTGGCTAGAGCTTCAAAATATTGCCTTCTATATGCCTTCTTCTTTTTTGGCAGGATTTTTACAGTACATTTCTGAGACTAATTTATAAGATATAAATATCTTATAAATTACATATAAATATATGTAGTTTGCATTCAAAGAATTAAAGCTATAGCTCTAAGACTACATACTATACCACTCTTCATGAAACTACATCTCAAGGATGAGGTTTCCTGAATCATTACCGGATTTCCTTAAATTAGGGATAGAAAACTTTAAACCAGTCACATTTTGGATTTCAACTGCCATCAAGCAGCCAAGGCAAGAAGTTACGGTTCAAAGCATCAAGCGGGCATTTGTAACCCAGAGCTGGTCCAGAATGCAATGGTGCAGACAATTTGGGGCACATTATGTTATGCCCCTGTGACACTCTTGCTTTACACTGTATTGTTGCAGTGGGTTTCTGGATATAATGCAATGTGCTGGTAAATCACTACAAAGCCCTAAACGGGTCCAGGATACTTGCAGTCTTTTGTGTTCACCCATCAGAACAAGTAGCACTGCCATGCACCAAGTTGTGTCCATAAAGAAATAGGATTTTTCTGGGGCTTCGGAGTCATACCTTCTCTGTCATGGTACCTGCCCTGTGGAACAGTGTCACCTGAGATCAGGAGGGCCCTGACCTTTCTGGATTTTCATAAAGGCCAGGATGCTCTCCTAGGCACTGAGCCAGGAGATTAAACCAGTTCTGTTGGTGGATTTGTGGTTTGGTCTCTATGGATTAATATTCAATTTTTAGGTCTGATCACACATTACATGTTATCATTATAAATTTAAGTTTCTATTTGTTGCATTAGGTTGTGTTGAGTTTATTACTTGATGTGCTGCCCAGAGTCACCACCATGAGGTACATAGGTTATACAAATTGTTTAAACAGATAAATAGGGCATATGGCAGCCACAAGACTGAAAGTTATATGTAATCAGATGTAAAGAGCTGTCCAGCCAATCCCAGGCATTTATGATATACAGAGATATGTTGTTTGAGTATAGCTTATGGTTAAACCAAAAGGTTTGTGCGCTTTAAGACTACAAAAATTTCTCCTAAAGTGAAGAGAGTTTGCCATTCCGATGAAATGCAGGGAAAAATCCTGATGAATGAGGACAAAAGGTGATACTAATTTAAATCATTTTAGAGATATCTCTTTTTAACACAAATTTGGCTGTTAAATTATAAAAACAGTAACCATGCAAGATTATTCAAAAACTACCTTGAGCTCAGCAACCTGTGAGGAAATATGCCACATAAGACTTTCACTTAAGAACTTCATACCATATGGACCAAGAAGTTCTGATAAGGCTCTCATTTCTAAGGAATAAAAATCATATACATTTGCTTTAATATAATGCCTACAGTATATATTGCTATTCTGTTCTATTAGCATCTTAAGGCATGCACTCTATCTCAAACACCCAAAACAGAAAATAATTTGCAATCAATTTGCTGCAGTGTAAAAATGAAGCAGGTAAATAAATTGAGAAACTAGCCAGTTTGGTCTAGTGGTTAAGGCAGCAGGCTAGAAGCTGAGATCTTGAGTTCTAGTCTCTCCTTAGGGATGAAAGTCAACTGGGTAACTTTAGGCCAGTCCCTCTTTCTCAGCCCAACCCATCTCACAGTGTTGTTGTGGGGAAAAGTGGAGGAGGAAAGTATATCCTCAAGTTAATTGCCTTGAGTTATTTGTAAAAATAATAAAGGTGGACTATAAATAAATAGAAATTCCCTCACTATAAAAACAAACTTATTCTCAACTTCTGCTTCTTAGCCCATCTCCGCTCCTTAGCTCTCTTTGATCCATCACAAGTGTGAAAGGAGCAACTTGTGAAGACTTAGTGAAGCCTCATTGTGTGAGCTAAATTCTCTTTATTTTTCTCTGGGTTCAACAATACAGCTTAACTATCTGATTTCCCGATGTAGTATTTGTACTTAAAAAGCATTACTTGAGAGAAAAACTCCAATAGTTACAAACAATGTAACAAACATTTACAGAAAACCTACCTGAGATGTCTGAATATTCTTCTGCATTAAATGTCAGCTCATTTTCAGTAGGCAAGTTGACAAATGCCTTCATCGCAGGGAAATAAGCTATATGGCCATTACTGACTTGCCGTAGCAGAGTTTCCAGATACCTTAACAAAATGAAATTTACTTTCATAGTAGAATTAACACCATATCAATTCTGACAAGACCTATATGAATTTTTGTCCTTGCTAATTGACATAAAACAACCTAATGTACTAAATGCCCGTCTTCAGAGCTGGTAATATTCAATTAAAACCAATTAGCAAATTCCTTGATAGGAAACTAAAACACTCCACTTCGTGAAATTCATAGTCTCTAATTAATGTCTCTGGTACAGCCTCTGAAGCAACAGAAGCTTTGAGTGTATTGAAGAAGACCTTTATTGAGGCTAAACTGACAATTTATTACCTTTTTAAAAACCTTGGACAATATACAATAGATTTGGATCAGATAATTGGAATAACCTAGGTGCCAGGCTTCAAGGAATATTACCTATGTTTCTTGTGTAGAAGAACTTAGAATTTACTGGATCCCTCAGAAAAATATTTTAAAAAGTTTGTCTTCCATCCTTTCTATACAAGAGATGTTGTGAGTGTGCACTTGTCATTCTGTATTGGTTAGGAGTTATTGCTATGATGAACTATGCTCTTGGAGCTAAAAAACATTGTTTTATTACACTGTATCTCAAAAATGTAGAATCTTTTAATCTATGAAGCTTTAGGATATATTTTTGGAAAGAAAAGATTATTATGTATTCCTGAAAGAATGTTCGGGTCCTTGGGGACATAAACATTGACTTGATAAAATTTGGCAACTCCGTTTTTGAATTTGCTTTGAACCAAATTAGAAATGAGACCAGATACTATCTGTGTTTAGTTCACTCTTCAAAATTAAATCTTAATGTTGAAATTTAAGAAGTTTTGAAGAAACTTTTCTTGTTTTCATTTTTTATAAATATTCATCTAGGGCTAGATATAATTCTGGTAGGTGAGGTTTTTACAGTTATTTTAAAAGCTCCCGCCTCCTGATACACTGTCTTTGAGGGGATTTTTGTTTTGTTTTGGTGTATGCCAGTGGTGGCGAACCTATGGCACGGGTGCCAGAGGCGGCACTCAGAGCCCTCTCTGTGGGCATGCGCGCCATCGCCCCAGTCCTAGGCCTTCAGCTGGGTTTTATAAAACTTTTTCACTTTAGGCCTCTGCCGCCGTGTGCAAAACAAAAAGGTTCAATCAATCAGTCAATTTCAACTTCTCGAGGCAAAAAAAAAGATCTTGCAAAGTTGGAATTGATTGATTGGACTTTTTAGTTCCACCCAGTCTGCCGTTACCACCGCAGCCACGCCCACCCAATGGGCCACACCCCCCAATTGGCCACATCCAGCCAATGGGCCACACCCATCCGGCACCCGAGGATGCATAAGTGGGTTTTGGGTTGCAATTTGGGCACTCGGTCTCTAAAAGGTTTGCCATCACTGGTGTATGCCTTTGCTTTTCCATTTTTTTCTCCCTATACAGATTCTTTTAAATATATTCTTTTTAAAAATATAGTTTTTATTCAATGGTAATGTTAATTCATATAGTATACTGATACTTATTAAAAGAAATATTAATTGCAATGTTTTTAAAGTGGAAAGTTTAAAATATAATGTCTTTGAGATAGTTTCCAACTGCATACTGAAGCAAGGCACATTGTTCTCTTTCACTTGGGAACTCATTCTCATCTCAATCTTTTTTTTTTTTAACTCTGAAAGTTTGTCTCTTACAAAACACAATAGGAGAGAAAAGCTGCAGACTGATACAGCCATTCAAATTCTTACCAATTTGTGTATAGACTGGTGATGGTTGGCTCCCCATGACTATCTAAATGCTGGGTTTGCTGAAGGAGGACATTATTAAACACTCTTGTGATGTCAATCTGTACATAATTTTCTATTGACTGGAGCACTGTCATATAAGCTCTGACACTCGTTAACAATTCTGAAGGTTTTGCAATTTCTTGTGTTGCCTGGTTATACATTGTCATCCCAACAATTGACCTTTGCAAAAAAATAAAAGAAGTTATTAACACAGAAGTTATCATGCAGGTACTAAATCTAAATGAGAAGTTTTCAAAAAACAAAATCTGGCTTTAAACTAATATAACACAGTTACGTTATCTGAACAATCTGATGTTTGCCTGGGTTTCGAGTACCAATAAAGGAGAATATTCAGCTCAGGGTTGAAATGAGGGGTCTTTGGTGTTCTCTGAGCTTGATTGTTTTCTTGCAGACATTTCATTACCCAAAATGGTAACATTATCAGTGCTAGTGAGGAGTGGGATTGGCTCTATTTATAAACGTATAAATATAAACTGAGAGCAAGCCCCACTTCTTATTAACTTTGATGATGTTACCTAGTTTGGGTAATGAAATGCTGCAGGAAAACAACTAAGCTCAGAAAGCACCAAGGACCCCTAGTGGGTTTCTAGAGATGCTGACTGCTTAGCCCAGGGGTAGGCAACCTTGGCTCTTTTATGACTCGTGGACTTCAACTCCCAGAATTCCTGAGCCAGCATAGCATAGCTGGCTCAGGAATTCTGGGAATTGAAGTCCACGAGTCATAAAAGAGCCAAGGTTGCCTACCCCTGGCTTAGCCCATGATTGGCATTAAAATATTTAACAGGACGTTATGAGGCCTCTGCAGCTCATAAGCACATTTTAACCAAGTGTTAGAAAGTGGATTAAAGAACAAGCCTCACTTGTCCTACTACAGAATAACATACGGAGGGAAAATCCAAAACAATCACCATCTAATAGCTGCAATCCAATGAACGGTTAAAAAGTTGAAATACCCATGATTAAAATAAAATAGTTGTCCTTTAATTTTTCCTTGGGTTTTGTTTTGTTTTGGAGTACAGGAGCTTATTACTTTTCTTATTAAAGCAGGCCACAGCTGGGTCAAGCAATAGTACTATAAACTGCCACCTAATAAATTCTGTTCATGGATTTTGCATGTACATGATCTGGAACTTTTTGTAAAATGAGGTCGGCACTTTGAATCTATTATTGAGACTGAAGCTTTAAAAGCAACACATATCTGTGGTCATTAAAACTTGTTGAGTGTTATTTCCTGATGCATCTTGACCATTGCCTGAGATGTAGAGGAAGTCTATCAAAGTAACTCCCATATTTGAAAGGAAATGGCAGAAAATATGCCTCTTTGCCAGTTTCCTTTATTTGCAAAAGAAGAAATGTGCTTTAATGTAAACTTTAGTCTGCTGAACAAAGCATTTAGAAGTTCTATAGAGGATGTAAAGTTTGGTTTTCTTTAGCAGCTGACTAAATTTTAGTGAGACTCAATCCCTAATTAGCATACGATTACAAGCCAGGACTCTGCAAAACTAAATTCTGGTTTGCTTTTCTGGTGTTGGTGAAATGATATTTTGGTTTACTTTTTTTCTTAGCCAATAGAATAACAACAAGGGAAAATGAATTATTCATATGCAAGGGCATTACTCCAGGGCATCTTCCTGTTCTTCCATAGAATGCTATAACTGAACTGACTATGTGTCACCATGACATATATCAAGCTTCCATATAGAGATGTTGAAATATTACTTGATCCACCTGACCTAACTGAACTGGTAGGATGAAACAAAAGCAACAGACTCTTGTGTTTGTAAAAACAACAGAGGTGCCTATTGCAAAATGTCAATTGACTTGGAACTTTCTATGACTCAATGATTCTCATTGTTTTGATATTAAGAACAGACATTTCCCAGTCTCCTTACTTAAGGTATTTGTCATGAATATCTGATTGCTATGATCATAACCTTGGCAATACGATACTTCCTATAAAGTGACAATACACAGTATCATTGCAAGACTGAAAATAAGCAGCAATAAAGTTGGCCACTGCCTAATGGAACAAACACACAGAAGATTCCAAAGAATCTTTGGTTTTGGTTATTCACGATAGCCAAAGACAAAGATTTAAAACTGTTCACTGAACTTACTTGGTAAAACGAATTTCCAAGTGAGATGTTAAATACTCCCTTGGGGTAAAGGTGTGTTCCCATACGATCATGTTTGGAACGTAATTGATAGAGAAGCAGAGTTCAGAAAGTGCGGTGTGCAATTTGTCCAGGCTTGAGTAGGTGAAAAACAAAGAACAAACAAGTCACATAAGTAGATAAATCTACATAAAAACCATCTGCCCAATCTAAAAAAAAAAAAAAGATATAAGGATGAGGGAGGGCACGTATGCTATTTGAATACAATTATATAATATTTCAGAGCCAGTTTGGTGTTGTGATGAAGGCCTCAGACTAGAAACAGGGGGAAACTTTTGAGCTCCAGTTTTGCCTTAAGCACAAAACCAAACCAGCAGATTGATTTTGGACCAGTCACTGAAGGAGGCAATAGCAGAGTACTTCTGAAAAAGCTTGCCAAGAAAATTGCAGGGTCTTATCCAGGCAGTCTCAAACAAGTGGACATAATTGAATGAAAGGAAAAAATATTATATTAAGAACAATAGCACAAAGATAAAAGAGATGCCATTCTTTTGTTCTATCTTGCGTTGAATGGAAAGGAGCAGAAGGTTAAAATACAGGAATAGGAGTTTGTCGCGCAGACCCAGAATTGATAAGCGTAGCCTTCCACCATACATGAATAAGCAAATTGAGTATCCTTGGGAAATGTTTTGCGTTCCAATTAGCCTTGCATGGCTCCAATATCACTGGAGCTGAGAAGAACACATGATTGTTCTTCTCAAAAGAGGTGGAGGGAGAGCAACCACATGGACTGATCTTGCCCTTTCTCAGCCATGGTCTGATGAAAGTAGAAGTCTCTACTACATCCATGGTAAAATTTAATACTGAAATAGAAGACATGGCAGACCAAGACATTGTTGCTTGCGTCTCATCAGGATATGAGGACATGAAGCACACTGATATCTACACAGATTGAAGAAGGCTATTACTATTTCCTTAAACAAAAGGAAAAACCAACAAAGGTGAATGCAAAAACTACAGGAGGGTTTGATCTGTACTGTATGCCAGGAGTCTCCAACCCCCTGTCCGCAGCCCAGTGCCGAGCCACAACCCATTGTGAACCGGGCAGTGGGAGTAGTGGGTGCGTGCACGCACTGTGTGAAGCTGCATTTGTGAAAGCAACACACAGGCATGCACGCAAAACCATCCCCTCTTCCCTGCCGGTGCCGGTTTGCTGAGCCGGAAAGGTTGGAGACCGCTGCTGTGGGCCAAGGAAGGTTTTTAAGCAGGATTCTCATTGATAAGGTTCAAGAGGTGACAAACTAAATTTGGAACACACTGCTAAGTTTAGCTGGGTAGGGAGCAAGCAGATCAATTGTTGCTCTGCAGCAGTAAAATACGAGAAACGTTTAGCTTGTTGATTCAGAGAAAGTATTTAATAAAGTGAATAGAACTGAATTTTCTGCAAACATGCAATTGAAAATTGGCTAATTAATGTAGTAAGACTAATATATGACAGAAGAACATGCAAGAGAAGGGAATGCTTAGCAAACGATTCAACACAAAACAGGGAGAAAGACAAAGATGTGAAATGTTTCCTGGTTTTTTAAAAATATATTTATGAAGGTGCTTATGATGATGTTCTAGATTATGTTGGTTGGCATCATGAATGTGCACACGCTTTTGCAAAACATAATGAAGTCCTTTGGCTGAAAACCTGAATGAGGCAGAGAACGGCAGGTTAGATATATGGAGTAATTTAAACTAGCATGGGCCTGAAAATTAAACTATCAAATTAAGTAATTAAACACCATGATGAGTGATAAATGAATACAGGCTGAATATAAATGTACATGATCAGTGCAAAGAAAAAGGATGCTGTGATAGTTTGGTCATATATAAAAGGACAGTGCCTGATTCAGGAGATCTTACTTTTACTCTAAGAAAGGTGTGGTTGATGGAATTGATTATATTCTCAAAAAGGAAGAAGTGAATAGGGAATGAAATCATGTGTGATGTAGTAGAAACAAGGATGGTTTCAAGGATAGAAAGCTATGCAGAGGTATAGTGAATGCAAGCTATAGATTGCAAACTATATTTAGCTACATTTCCTTTTCTTTCTCTTATCTTGTGTTTTTAAATAGTTTCTTTTTTCTATTCCTTCCTCCTTTTTTGCCTTTTGCACAGCACTACTTATCCTGAAAGGGAACAGCATGATGTCTATGTATGTATATAAAAGACAAAAGAAAAGTTAAGACAAATGTCTCCTTAAATATAAACCATCTCAGAATTACTCACTTGGTCACTACCAGCCTATTTTTTCTCATGCTTTCTACTCCTGGTTTTTCTCTTTCTGGTTCTCCTTTCTTACCCGTCTGTTTCTTTGACTTTTTGTTCACTGCTTGGCTAATGGTTTTGGCACAATGTTTTGGCAGTAACTTTAAAAAAAGGAGAGAGAAAAATTCAAAACAAGTTACAATTTACAAAAAAACCAACCCTAATTTCATTTGGATTATTATAACTTTGTACCTTCAGTACCATTTTGCCTTTGGAAATACTTGAGTAATACTGTCCATTTCCAGGATCTTACATACTTGCAATTTAGTAGTGACAACATTTAAAACTGAAAAAAGATTTTATTCTAATTTCTAATTATTCCAATTTATGAAAGGCTATGCTGGTCTCTGGTTGAAATAAAAACTGGATTATTATGGAAAGGGCTTTATTAGGAATTTAAAGAAAATATATTATATAACAATATCTAAATTTCTAGAATTGTCTGCCCATCTATCCATCCAATTCTATGTCTCCCCCATCATAGCTGAGTGACTTTGAGCAGCTAACAAGGGTTAAAAGGATACAATATGGAACATGACAACTCAAATGTGATATAGTAAAACACACTACACTGGGGACTAGGCCCACACCCTTTATTATTCCACCCGCCTTATCATCAGAACCACATCAGAACCAAGGCTTCAGGATCTTCTTAAAGCTTGGCAGGGGTAGGGTCAATTTAGCATTGAGGATGTCTATTGTTCCATAGGGTAGGTGCTTTGACAGAGAATATGTACACCTTAGACCCCAGGAAGTAGTTCTGTTTAATTAATGGGACCTGAAGCATGCCAACCCTTTCAGGTCTTGTAGGATGGACAGTTAATTGGAGATAGATGATCTAAAGAAATATTCAAGTTTTTTATGACTTTACATATTTTTCATTTTATGTAGATGACATTTCACATAGAATGAAAAAAAACCAAAAACAGGTTTATGCCCAAAGGGCTTTTCAATGTGAGTGGGGACAAGGTAAACTATGGAATACAAAGGGTTACAGGCAGGGATAAACAAAGAATGTATAATTATTGCACAGTACCGAGTTTCATTTAGTTACAGCACAAAATAACGAGATTTAACTCCTACCTGGTCACTTAGGGTACATTGCTCTGTACAAATATCTGTGATAAGATTCCGGGCTTGTTTAGCCATTTCATCCAAAAACATGTTACACAAGGAGAGACTGCGATCACCAATGTGGTGTCTCTATCAAGATAAATCCAATTCTCAATTTATTTCTACTCTTTTAAAATTAGGAGATCATTAATACTCATTGAAAATAACTTTTAAAATTTATCTGAATGAACACCAGGGCAAATAGTGTTATTCTTTATAGTTTAGTCACTATATTAAAGAATTCAGTTTATACACACTGAGCAACAGGATATAAATCTAATGAATAAACAAATACCTTGAGTACACAAGGCTAGACCTCCCTTCAAAATTATTAGCATTAAAGAGATGACATGCATTCTTACTATAAGCTCTTTCCACCCCCGATATATGTGAACCAATATGAATAATTTTATACCACATATTTTTTAAAATCCTTAACTTAGAAGGAATGAAACTAACCAGCTCAAGCCCCTACTAAGAACTATCTGTCTCCTCTGAGATTTTGCTGAGTTGAGGATGAGACAAAAATGCACTCCTTACTCTGACATATTACCTCTAAATAAACTTTGCCCCTTTTCTTCAACATTGCCACAAGCAGACTAAGACAGGCTGATCCGATAGGAATCATTTTTTTCTACCTGAACCTGTATTTATATCAGTTATCGGCTTATGTCTCATGTATTTTACGTTTCCTCTGTCTAAAGGGTCATTTATGAAGATGGAAGGTGTAAATATTTTAATAAACTAGTCAGCACATTTGAACACTGATTTAAACTTTAATGTATTTATCTATATGTGTGTATGAGTTCATAGCCAGCCCTCTCTGTTTTTTATTTCTCAAGAATGGAGGAATTTCTAATATAACAGACAAAAGCAGATTCATTGTGGTTGATGAAGCAGGCACTCTAATCTAGTCTTGCCTTATATATATATATAAACAGTATCATCCTCCAGCTTCTCTTTTTACTTATGCAAGGGTTATTTTAAGTCACCGTATTACCTCTTCTGGGCACAGTTCATGGGTACAGCTCATAAAGTGAGTGCAAAGCAGCGGAAATGCAATTGAGTATCTGGACTGGGAGGGCAATTCCAAGCACTGCTGAAACATCTTCTCAAAAGCACGACTGTAAAAACTGTTCAGAATCATTGGAAAACAGCATATTCATTTTCATTTTACTTGGGAAAAAATGTTTTATAGCAATAAACAGTATAAAACATGCACCTTAAGTGCATACATTTAACATACCAGAAATCGTATCCTACCATGTTTCCCCAAAAGTAAGCCCTACCCTGAAAATAAGCCTAGCTTATTTTATATACGCCCTACCCCAAAAATAAGCCCTATTTTTTGGGTGGGGGTGGAGCTTACCATTGCAGCCGGCCCTCCCATGGATCGACACTTGCCTCGCTGGCTCACTTCTTCTGCAGCCGAAGGAGCAGCTTCATTCTGCAGCTGAGAATGGAGTTCAGGCCTGCATTTTGCCATCAGAAGCCTTTCCGGAAGGCCTCTGCAGCCGAGAACCGAGCTATGGATTCATTCCCTAGCTCGGTTCTTGGTTGCACAGGCCTTCCGGAAAGGCCTCTGATGGTGAAATGCAGCCCGGAGTTCCATTCTCAGCTGCAGAATGAAGCTGTTCCTTCTGGCCCGAAAGAAGTGGGCCGGCTAGGCAGGGCTGTCAGCGCCGATGCCGCGAGATTAGTGGAAAAGACCTCCCCCCCCCAAAAAAAATAAGACCTGATGCCTCTTTTGGAGGCAATAAATAAACAAATAAATAAATAAGACTGGGTCTTATTTTTGGGGAAACATGGTATATTCTATTTATACAATGCCTGAAACCATCTAAAGACTGAAACACGATGTAACAAACGAGAGCTTCACAACATCACAAATTATTCTAATAAAATAAATTTAGAGCAATAATAAATTACAATTGAATCAATCTCCACTTCAAAAGTTTCTGAAATAAGTCAATCTTGCCCTCTTGAAAGAAAAAAAGAGCAGAACAATCTTTTAAAAATTCAACCCAGAAACAACTGCTCAGAAGAAATGCTTGAGTGGATTTTGATAAAACATAAAAGCAAAATAATGAAAAAGGGTATACCTGTGTCCCATTGCCTGTTTGGCATAGTGGTTAAGGCACTAGTCTAGAAATTGGGACACTTCAATTCTATTCCTGGTTTAGGCCAAAGTCAGCTGGGAGACCTTAGACCTGTCATTCTCACTCAGCCCTATAACAAATCCAGTTTTAAAAAATGCTGCCAAGAAAACTGCAAAGGGCAGTTTCCAGGAGTCAAACTGATTGGATGGCATAATTTTTTCCCTCTGTTGTTGTTGCACAGCACCACCAACTGCCAAATAAATGCATGGCATGCTGGCAGCAATGACCCAACTCTATACCCATCGCTAGCCTCGTCTTATGGCCTCCACACAAGATCAGGTATGCTATTGTCAACAGGTACATAAGCAATAGCATGGCAGAAAGGCTAATTTAATCAATTAAATTAAACTGATACAATTTAATAAAATCAGTAGCTATATTCCTGCTCTTCTGTAGGTATCAAATGACTAAAATCCAGATTAAGATGGTTCCCTTCTAATCTCTGAATTGAAATAGCTCATAATATGTATTAATAGTGCATTTCTATAATGTCTATTCAAAACTGTTCCATGGAATTCAGTGGGTCCTACACAACAATAAATTGCAATCTAATCGTGTTAACAGCAGACATTTTGCAGCATTTCTTAATTTATACCTTCTCTTTAGAGTTGGAGATGGGTGAGAAAACATTACAAATATTAAGAGTTCAGAATTAAATTAAACGACGTACCAAAATATAGAAAGATCTGATGTTTCAACCAACATTTCAACCAAAGAGTCTACCATTTTTGTGTGGAAAATGATTGTGTTCATCATCTTTCCAAGTTCTCTGTGGTCGGCAAGACTAAGTGAAGCCTTGGACACACTAGTATAAGCCTGTAAATATAAAAAAAACAAGGAAAATAAACAAAAGACGGATCCCAGGATAAGACCTATCCCTTTGACCTATCCCCTAAGACCTATCTGTCACCTTTTATATGGAAATATTTATGTAATAAAACTGAATGAAAAATAAAACAAAATATGCTTTCATTATATTTTGCTAAAATTGGGACAGGTCACTTTTATCAATCACCATTTAGAAAATTTCAAAATGCTCCTTAACAACTTTTTGTGTCTAAACAATTTTATCTCTTTTTACAAAGGAAATTACAAATAAGCAAAACTGATTAAGAGTCATTTGAGAATCTACGAAGACGATTTTTCCAGTTACTTTTATTTAACAGTTCAATCCAGAATTATGGAAGCTACTTATTTTCCTTATAAAAGAGCATTTATTGCTTAAATATTTTTTTATAAAGCTACCTGAGTGGGATGAAAGCCAAATCAGATCAAAATAGTAATGGGCCAGTTAGCAATTAAGTAAATGTTACTTGAAACAGTATGTTAAAAAATTCTAAGTTTGTTTATAGCCAAAAACCTCCTAAGTCCAAATGCAGAAATTAAAATTTTAAGCATATTCTCCTGTAGCATTTGTAAAAAAAAATTCCAACATTATATAAAAAGACCAGCATGTTCTTCCAACTCTTGCTCTTTGAACAACTGAGGAAAACTAGACTTTACACATTATCTTAAAAAACAACTTCCAAGAAAAACTGATTTGGGTTTAACAATAAGATCTTTCCAGAAGGATACCCTTGGGGTATGCACAATAAATTCTTCATGAACAGGCCACATAATCTTCTAAACTGATTTGGCTATTCAACTGTTATTACAGATCTCTGTTTGTAACACCTTATTTTACATTTCTTCAAATAATCTGGTGTTACCCGGTGCTCTTGCTTTAAACAAAAGCCACATTTAAATGACGAATAAGGTTTACTTTATGAAAAGGCTTGCGCTCCAGATTAAGATGACTATGTGTTTTAGAACTTCTAGAAAATATAATGTTGAAAAACATACTCAATACTCCAAAGACTGAAGCTAGATGATTAGAAAAGTGTCACTAGCTTGCTATGTTACGTGAACATAAGTGAATGGTTCATATGTGGCTTATCTGATCCAAACAAAAGCTTGTTCTGCCCAGATACAGCTAGCACAAGAAATCAAAAATTGGAAGCAGTTGTCAAGCTGTGAAGACTACTGTCTTTAGGACCGTTGCGTGCTTCTAACTTGCCAAGAGTGCGGGAGGGGGAAGAGGGGAACCGTTTGAATCCACAGGTGTGTCTTCTCATCGTGAGAGCTGAAGAGTTGTTTTGGGTTTCTTCTCATAACATTTACTAGAAGATGTATTGGACAATGTGATATGTACTGTCAGAGATGGGAGGGAGAGTTTTCCTCTTTTAATTATCTGCTTCCCGCCATTGCTTCAGAGCTAGCTTTACTTCAGAACTTGCCGGATTGTTTATTGCTTAATAAAGTTAACATTGGAGTTCATCATGACTCTAGTGTTTTGTTTGGTTGGGCTTATTCAGCTGGAATTGGACAGCAGTTCTGCCAATTGACCAGTCTCTACAATGCCTTGCCAGAATAGCTTGTATCTTCACTGAAATCCACTCCAGAGAATCAATGTTTGATTTAATAGCATCCTACTTCCTGACATCAAAACAGTTAAAAAAAAATCAATCTAATTTGAGCATTGCTCTTAAAGCCCATATATTGGACTACCATGAGCTCTTTCCAGCATGTCCAATAAGAATCAATGAAATCATATAGGGAAGTTATGCCAGCACAAATCAATGTAATGCCAAGTAACAGCAATAAATGTAGGAAGACTACAACGTAGGTAGAGAAAAATAACATTTGCTTGCTTGTCAGCAAACCAATTCATGTCTAAGATTAACAAAGGGCTTTTTGTTTTAAAGGCATGAGTTATTGCAATATAAAACATATCCTATGCTTATGAGATGGGAGATGATTAATTAGTCATGGACACATTGATTTGTTTCATCATAAAAGACATGGAACGAAGTATACAAATGACTATTAAAATCTGGGCATATTTCACCTCTAAACCAAGGTATAATTTTGGTTGAATCAGATCAACATTGTGTATTGTATTATACTTTTTTTAATTGCAGATTTTTGAATATACTTAAAAATTAACAACTCAAAATCAATGGAATCTTTGAGAAACTATCCTTCCTATCACCAGGCAGAGCCCATGTAGACAATCTTAGGTTTTTATATTTTGCTTTCTAACTATATGAATGGTATAGTACGTTTTATCCTCACATTATGAATATGATTATATGAAACAAGATAGTAGGCAACTTCTAAAAACATTTCTATTTAAGAATTATCAGTTGGAAAAATTCTAGATCTAGGCCTGTTAAATGTTAATTTGTATATTATTTTGTTCCAACTAACCAAACACATATCCAAATTATTCCATTTACCATCCATGCATGAGAACATGTAGCAAACATACTTTTTACTAGCAGAGCAAGATGGCAGCTTTAATCATTTAAGTTCATTTATTATTATTTAATAAATTCACTTAAAATTATTGGCTTGACTGAAAATTATTAGAGCAGAAAAAAAGCAAAACGCTTTAGAGCAGGGGTCCCCAACCCCCAGTCCATGGACCGGCACCAGGCCGTGGCATGCCAGCAACCAGTCCACACAAACAAGCAAAGCACCATCTGCAAGATGCAGGCAGCACACAAAACCATGCACCTTCTGGTCCGCGGAAAAACCTTTCTCCACAGAACCGGTCCCTGGTGCCCAAAAGGTTGGGGACCTCTGCTTTAGAGTATAAGAAGATAATTCTTACCTGTAATCTAAACCAATCAAGCCTCATTCCTCTGAAGTCAAATACCTCTCCATCTTCAACTGCACCAGAGAAGGAAATGAAAAATCAACTCTGTAGCACACTATTAATGCACAATGAAGATAATCCCTCAATTCGTAAAATGTTGTATTTAATATCAGAAATGTGCTGATTATTTTTAGACCTATGCAAAGCTCTCTACACTCTCTAAATAAAACTCAGTTTATATAACTAACTGAAATTTGAATTGAGGAAATCTAAGTTTCAACATCTGATTATTGTTATCAGATAATTGTCCTGTGAAACACTGCTAGTCAAAATGTTCAAGGAGACCTAGGTTATATTTGTAGTTTTCCATAGAGAGTTCTTAGTTTCTGGAAATACTTTGCAAGGAATCTTCAGAATTTAACATCTGTGCCAACTGTACCTGCACTGGACATTACAGTCTATAGTAAACCGAAGAGATCAAGCAAAAGGCAAAGTTAATGCCACATTAGCTTTCAAGAGTAGAGTTATCTAGAACAAGATGGGTTTATATTTGAAAAGGAAAGACTGACAGCTCAGTTCTGACAGTGGGCAGTTGCTTTCAAAAACACACGCAGGAAAAAAAGAAATGACACTTATTGTTCAAAATTGTTCAAAGACACTTATTACTTGGTTAAAACAGCTGCATTAAACATATACCTCTCTATATATTTGTATGTACGTTATTCAGAATGATAAAAAGCAGGAACCAGCACACTTTCAAGCAAGAACACTTTCACTGTTATAGATGCCCCTGAATAAATAAATAAATAAGTAAGATATACTAAAGGTTCAAACCTCACAATGTTGTTTGTAAATATTAAGATCTTGCGAGATGTGGATATCTCACAAGATTTCTATTCTTCCGTCACTCCCTGGTGTAAGGGAGTAGCTTTTAATGAGGAATGAAGATTATGGAACTCACTGAAACCATACTCCTTTTAAACCCTTTAATCTCATTCTCTCTCTTTCTCTCACTCACTAACACATAAACACACTTACCTTGTTTCACACTCAAGGAAGTCATAGTGTTTACAAAAGAGGACATAATGATGGATTCATCTTCAGGGCACACCGAAAGATTCTAAATATTAAAATGTATAAAGGGAACAAGTTACAGCATTTGCTAATTCTGTAGTCAATCACTAACTGCAAATAATCACAAAAGGGAATTCTTTATATGTACACACAAACACACTCACTTACAAACTATATCACATCACCACCAGATGGATTTGTAGCTGGCTGACAAACAGCACTCAACAAATAGTCCTCAATGGTACTACATCCACATGGAGAGAAGTAAGCAGTGGGGTACCACAAGGTTCTGTCTTAGGCCCAGTACTCTTCAAAATCTTCATCAATGACTTAGATGAGGGAATAGAAGGGGAACTCATCAAATTTGCAGATGATACTAAACTGGCAGGAATAGCCAACACCCCAGAAGACAAGCTCAGGATCCAAAAAGATCTTGACAAACTTGAACAATGGGCCCTATCCAACAAAATGAGTTTTAATGTGGAGAAAAGCAAAATTTTACAATTAGGCAGGAAAAATCAAAGATATAAGTGCAGATTAGGTGAGACCTGGCTCAAAAACAGTAACTATGAGAGGGACCTTGGAGTCCTAGTGGATGATCACTTGATTATGAGCTAGCAGTGTGCAGCAGCAGCTAAAAAAGCTAATACACACCTGGGTTGTATAAACAGAGGCACAGAATCAAGATCACGCAAAGTATTAGTACTGCTTTATAAAACCCTAGCGAGACCACACCTGGAATACTGCAACCAATTTTGGTCACCATACTACAAAAAGGATGTTGAGACCTTGGAAAAAGTTCAGAGAAGAGCAACTAAGATGATCAAAGGACTGGAATTTAAAACATATGAAGAACGGCTGCAGGACTTGGGTTTGGCTAGTCTCAAAAAAAAAAAAAAAGAATAGGGGTAACATGATAGCAGTTTTCCAGTATTTGAGGGGCTGCCACAAAGAAGAGGGGGTCACATTATTCTCCAAAGCACCAGAGCAGGACAAGAAACAATGGTTGGAAACTGATCAAAGAGAGAAGTAACCTGGAATTAAGGAGAAAGTTCCTAACAATGAGGACAATTAACCAATGGAACAGCTTGCCTCCAGACATCCTGGGCCCTCCATCACTAGAGGTTTTTAAGAAGAGATTGATTAGTCACTTGTCTGAGATGGTATAAATTCTCCTGCTTGAGCAGGGGGCTGGACTAGAAGACCACCAAGGTCCCTTCCAGCTGTATTGTATTGTATTGTATTGTATTTATTGTATTGTATTGATAAAGAGTGCCTGCAATTCTTTAAAGCAATGACTTCTTTTCCTGGGATTGTTTAGTTGCTTTCTGCTTTAAATTGATGTAGCGAAGGTTGTTGTTCACATTCCCACAAAATCCAAGCACTGAATCTAAAGTGCCAATACACACACACACACACACACACACACACACACAGTTAGGAAGTTTTCCTTCCCCATTACTTGCATCCCTTGCCAGATATATATATAGATAAATTCTAAGTGGTGTTGACAGTATATAAAGTCTGAGGCATGCAATCCATGTATAAAAGAGTTAGGGTGAGTAATAATAAGAAGAGTATATCATTTTATAGACAGTATTAAAAAAATAAAACCAACCCATAGTATTTAATCTGAAATCTGTTCTTAATATTGTTTCATGGCTATCAGGCTAAAATAATTTAATTACAAAGTACAACAAAAAAATTGAACTATTTATTTAACACTCTCTACCCCCGTATCTAGATAAATCTAAGAGGTTATTGATGAAAGCAGGAAAACTAGTGATTTTAATTAAAGATATTTGAGAACTTTTACAAGTCAAATGCTGACATCCAGGGACAGTTACTATCAAATGTTTTAGTTACTATCAAATGTTTTAGACAACTTGTCTTAACCAGGCTATATAGAGCTGAAATGCACGGAAGTTTAAGTTATGGAAGAGAACTTCCTTCTGAGTCCTAAATAAATGACTTATTTTTATAAATAACTATTTATATGTATATTGTATAATTACAACCTAATTATCTGCAGGACCATCTCTTTTTTTTGGGGGGGAAGCTATCCAAACATTAGACATGAAGAAAAGACATTCTAAAAACGCTACTGATGACCAAGGTTCACGCATATAATACTCTAAAAGGGATGGAGGCTTCTTCACAGTTCCATGAAACGTACTTCCTGTTTAGATGCGCAGTCACGACCCATTCTTTTTCCCAGGTTTTTCTTAATTAATGCGAGTGGCCATTTTCAACACACATTTTTAACTTTTTGTCTACAGTTTGTTGTTCAGTTTCTGTTACCCATCTCGACAACCCAGCTAAGTACATAAATCAAATAAAAATAAATAAATATTCAAAGCTTACTAAGCTACACTAATAAAAGAGGGGGGAGAGGCACTAGTTGTTTACTTTAATGTTTTCACTTCTGCCGTGATGTCCTCACAGGCCTTTTCCTTATGACAAGAAACTTCACCTTTATTATATGCATTCATGGTTTAAAATATAAGCACACACTGGTAACTTATTTTCCCTTCTGAACAGCCTAATGAATCTTTGACCAAGGACAAGTGTTGAGCCCCATCTAGTGGACACTGGAAAAAGTGACTTACTGTAAATAAAACAATTTTGTCCTTCCAGACAAAATATGGAGACCTTAAAAATGTTTTTGTCACTAGTGTATCTTTTTATGGTGACTAATAAGAAACATAGACTTTTATGCTGACTTCAAACAGGAATTTCAAAAAAATAAGCACAACAGTATTTAATCCAGCTCTTGTAAATTTTATCAGATTTCATGGCAAAATCTTCACCACTCACCTGTACAAGTTCGTTTAAAACAACTGCATCAAAACCTGATAGATACTGAACATAATATCTTTGCATCACTGGGCCATATTTTCGTACGTGTGCTCTAAGCTCTTCCATGTAGAAAATCAGTTCTGCTATGTGCCTGAAGGAACAGAACAAAGCAGGTGGCTGACAAGTGGGGAAAAAACACCTTGTAAAATCTGTAGTGAGTGAGAAAAGACCAACAGCTCGATTTTTTTTGCTTTTAGCTTATAATTGTTTTCACTGAGACATAATTGTAAAGGGAAGAGAATTAAACAGGGTATCTCATGGAAAGATTACATGAAAGTCTCTCTTCATGCAAATGTAGAAGGGCAGGCAGAGCTGGGAGGGCGGAGTTAAATGCACCATCAATTTAGAACCCTTGTGTTGGCACAAGAGATCTAACTCCAGCTCCCCCTTGAATTCCATGGACCCTCAGCACCAATTTAGTGTTGACTGTTAGTTGACTAGGTTCTTGAATATACATTTCACTAATTCAACTATGCTGCAATCTTATGAATCCAGAACTAAAAAACGTGGACTGTCGTTTGTAAAATACAAACAGGGTCAATTCGGATGTATTAATTCTCCTTTGTATAATTTTTCATGTAAACTTTCTTCCCCTCTCCCCTGTTTACCTTCCCTACTTAGTAGATCGTTGGAACAGAAGATCGACTTACCCTTCCTTCTACATTCCCTCGGTTCCTCTCCCTCCCGGTGCAGTGATGCTATGGTCTCTTGAGATGTAGACCCTTTTCCTGTGGCCTTTGGAAACCTCCTGTCTGGGATTGATTTCCTGCCAGTTTCAGATGTAAAACACATGAAAACTGTATAATAAACCTCAAAAAGTAAAGGGTCCCATCCACAAACAAATTTGTGCTGTGGTTCCACCCATTTGGAAGAGTGCAGTCTCTTAAAATGTTGCTCTTGACAACTAAAAGGTTGCACGCTTCTGCTATAGAGAAGAGACAGAGGGGAAGGGTTAAAATGTTCCTGCTTTTAACAGGCCAACAGAGATGGATGTCTGAAACAAAACCTCTATGATAAATGAGACATTTACTGAACTATTGGCATTCGATTAAAAACAATGGCATACATCCAAGAGCACTGCAGGGACTATTCCCATACAATGAGTCTTCCCCTTTTGAAAGAAGCAATTCTACTGGAAAATGTCATGCTATCAGTGGATAAGGTCCATAAGGTCCCATCAGCCTAGTCTAAGGGACAAAGAGTGGCACAATTTCCACAGAATGTTGATAAAAAATTCAAAGGTTGGCTTATCCATGGACGGGCTTATTCGTGAATAAATACAGTATGCGTTGCAAAAGGAAAACAATCTGTGATGATGGAAGTTATACTACAAAATGAGTACATGCGTGCGCGCACACACTTTATTAACTTTTATGTATAACGTGTTCAGTGAAACTTTTGTTTGTGGCTGACCCATCACATTTGAGATCTAATGTAGTTTTAAAGATTGGCTTACAACACAACAATCCATGTATGTGAATTAATTGACATAAATACTTTAAATCTCTTTAGGATATTCAGAACATTTTTGAGATCTTTTCAGCTGAGGGATATTGGAACATTCTTTGCACTGACTCACACGGTGTGCATTAGTACAGTATGCATCGTATTTATATTTATATGATTTATTTATATCTCATCTTTATTATTTCTAATACATAAAATTAAATTAATTGAAATTATTAATACATTATTCTCAAAGTCCTGTCAGCAGCCTTCTCACCATCATTGCAATAATACAGTAAAGATCTGCTGAGGGGAACATGTTTCAGATTCCACCTTAGTTATCTATGTGGTGATAGCAGAGAAAATAATAACAAAACTATTAAATATCTTTATTAATATGACCTTTTCTGTTAGGGCCCCCATTACTTTCTTGTCTGTTCTCTTTTTATAGACAAATTAATGCTTTTGGGGAAACTAATGAAAGGCCCCATCCAGTTTCATTTAATTAATACAATGTTGTTTTCAATTTGCATCTTCTCTCTTGTTTTTATTTTTCAGCTTTCTAAAAATTGCTAGTAGTCAATACTTTAAATTAATGAAACATTTGTATTGTAATCTAGTTTTCATACAGTGCAATAGTGCAGTTCCCTATGTAATACTGGTATGGCACATATTCAAATCATACCATATAAATCCTGCGTTATAAACCTTGATATACAACTTTCAATCAACACGCACAACCATGTTTTGATATAATTTCATATTTACA